TGTAAACTGGAGTGCATGTATAGGGTAGCGTTATTTAACCCCTTAACAACAAGACGTTAAGCAAATCCTGTTATGCAGGGTACGCCAAAATTCAGAGTAGGATTTGACATGTCAATAACTCATTTTTTAGTAGTTCAATTTTTTTCTTGCAGGTACATATTATAACGGAGTCTTGGGAGATTCATCCCGTGTAATTTCACGAAGGAACAAAAAGTTGGAAGAATGGAATTTTATTTTCAACTGTTTGAGCTGATAATTTTACGAAATTCCCAGAATAATTTGCCGTTACTTTTGGCTGACCTTTCAGCTTCTGATTACTTACTGTGGGGATATCTGAAGGAGTGGGTGTACGTGAACAAACCACGTCCAATTGACCAGCACGGTGGAAATATCTGTGCAGAGATTCAAGCATTAGAGCCTCAAACATTAGCCAATGTCGTGAACAATGCAACATTTAAAAGATGTCATCTTCCGTATATAGCCAAACAAATCTCCATACTTTAAGCATTCATTATATATATAATATCATTGAAATTGGTTCATTAATATAAAAGGTTATGGACTCCTCAACCCCTACTTTGAATTTTTACTAACCCAGTATCATGATTTCATTGACATGTTATGAAGAGATAAAACTTACTCTTGGTGTCACCACCTCTGAAAGGAGAACTGCTGTTTTCCAGAATTTTTCTTTTCAGTTCATTTATACACTATATTTAGCAAATACATTGTTGTGACGTGTGAAAAATTGAATTCAATGTAGCAGTCCACACATATATGCTGTAAATGGAGTGCTTTCATCTTAGCTACCTGTCAATCAATATTATAAATGGTTACATTTTATAGCACTGATCATTATTGGAAGAAGATACATCGAAACAATGTTTCTGTTCTGCTCCTAATTTGCATTGTGTGCCCTAACTGTGCCAGGACTGAACTGGATTGTGATTGCCACTTGCTAAATCTTTAATATTATTTTTAAAATGGTTTTTTCAACGGTTTAATTTCCGCAAAAGTGACAGTTCCGCTTTCTGTCAGCCATTAGCCTGTAGGTGTTCCAGGTTTATTGAACTACATCTCTAAAGATCCTTTGTCAGATCTGAATGAGAGCTAAGCGATTTTATAGTTAGAAGGCTTCCTCTTCCTGCTGTAGAGGTAATTATGTCTTCCTGCTGTAGAGGTTGTATCAGTTCACGCTGCAAAACCTGCGTCTCGCATCCGCATATTTTTTTTTCTTTTTATTCCTGAGTTTTGCTGTTTACAGAGATAAAAAAAAAAAGCTGTTTCAAAGCACAGAAATATCTTTTCACTTTAAAGAACACTGTAAACATTTCAAAAGTGTTTGCCAGCTCATTATCTAACTAGGTCTTACCAACTACTCTGTGAAAACAACAGCAGCTGAGCAATGTTTGCCAAAAGCACATTTCAGCCTAGGGAAATTATATAAAACACATATAATAGACGTTTCCATTCTTTCTCTTAGGGGAAATTAGTCTATTGAGTTAAGCATAGCATTCGTGATGTTGCCTAGTTCACAAATTAAATTTGGGGTTGGGGAGCCTTTTCAACACCCCAAAAAGATACAACACGCAGTGATTGTCATCAACTAATATATCAGAAGAGACATATATAATTCAGCATTTTTGTCATACCGAATTGTCTACGGAACATGCACATCCAATGTCTGTGTACCTATTTTATCTAATATTATAAGATTTATATATCTGCTCATATTGTACTTTATAGCTATGTGAATTGTAAATCACAGAGTAAATCTTTTGGAGTTAAATATCTATACAATATATAGTCGTACAAGTATCTATGAATGCTCAATAAATGGCGTTAAACTGTTTTTGTTATAAGGTAAACACATTTTCATTATATATATATATTTTTTGACTGATCATAGGTGAATTATTATTTGATTGTTCGTGTATTATTTCATATATACCCCATGAAATATAGATTTCATGTATCAAACAGCAAATGGTAAAACTTAAAAAGTGATACACGATGGAGGATAGAGTCTTCATGGGTATTCTACCTTCACTAGACATATATGTATTTTTCCTTTTTAGATTCACTTTAATTTTTTTTTTTTTGGTATACAGTAATTTAATTTTTATTTTTTTTGGTATACGGTTATTTAATTTTTTTTATTTTTTTTGGTATACGGTTATTTAATTTTTTTTTTTCTTCGTAGGTGGAAGGATGGAGAAATGTACATCTTGACTATTTTGTACATCATTTAAAACTCTGAGAAAGCAACACATAACTCATTTCTGAGGGGATGGGGGAACCAGAGGATTCTGTACCCACAGACACCTAAGCTATAAATCTGGTCATTCACAAGAGAGACGATGAAGAAAATGCAAGAATAAGGAACAAAACTGTGGAATTGGTTAGAAACAAGTGAAAAAAGAGAGATGGAGAGAAACATTAAAGTCCAGATAGCAGGACGTAGGTTAGAGGAATAGAGGAAAACCAGAAGAAGCAACGCTATGAAGGAGGTATGATAATGCAAGATATGTATTAAGGACAGGAGATGGGAGAGGACGGGGGCATGACCGAGAGAAGAGGGGGAGAGAAGGGCAGTAGATAAAGTATGAGACGGGCAGAAGGAAGACTGAGAAAGAAGGTGAAATAAAAGTGCAGACTGAAGTAGGAGGATTTTGGAAAAACGAAAATAATGGAAAGGGAAAGAAACAGAACTAAGAAGAAAGTCGAAGGAACATGCAGAAGAGAATTGGAAAAAATGGGTCAGTTGAGGAAAGAAAAAAACAAGTACAGAAATCAAGTCTTGCCACTCTAGAAAAGTGCAGTAAAGTTATCCTCTCAGTAGTGTTCCACTCACTGCTTCTATCTTTAAAGGGACACTTTAGTCACCAAAATAACTTTATCTGATTGAAGCAGTTTTGGCGTATAGATCATTCCCCTGAAGACTCACTGCTCAATTCTCATTTAGGAGTTAAATCACTTTTGTTTCTGTTTCTGCAGCTCTAGTCACACCTCCCCTGCCTGTGACTGACACAGCCTGCATGAAAAAAATGATTTCACTTTTAATTATATATTAATTTACTTTGAAGGTTTTTATTTCCTGCTCTGCAAATTGAACTGTCATCACATACAGGAGGCTCCTCAAGGTCTAGCAAGCTATTAATAGTGTGGGCGATAAGAAATTCATTAGGACTGCATAAACAAAGTGATTTAACTACTAAATGGCAGAGAACTGAGCAGTGAAACTGTAGGGCCATAATTTAGACATCATAACGGCTTCATTAAGGTACAGTTGTTTTGGAGTCTATAGTGTTGTAGAGTGTGATACTGTCTTAGGTACTGTCTGGAAGATGGAGCAGGGTTGGTGAATAAGGACGGGATCGAACACTGCAGGTGGTGTTCTCATGCCCTTGAAGAACTGTGTTCATGACATAAAATTTGACAGACATTTGTAACTCACTTGTATATCACTATGTATGAATGAGTATGAAATCTGTGTGTGGTTTAACAATCATTTAAAGGGAAGACACCATCATTACTGAAAATACAAATGCAGCTGAGCTGGTGAGATAGCTTATGAATAAGAAGAGTGATTCCTGACAAGCTCCGCTGAGCCTTTTATTTTTCTGAGAATAATCGAAAGATTATGATTCAATTGGATAGTAACATCTAGACTACAGGACATACCTAGAAACTAATGTCAAGCTAAATGTATCTTTCCTTGTTAAACATGTTGATGTTATTATTACATTTGATTGCATTTAGTGTCCTAAATAATAATAAATAATAATAATAATATTTAATAATAATTAATAATTATAATAACAAAGTATTTAACCAGGAATGGTACATTCAAATTACTCTGGTTTCCTGGTACATCCAGGGGATGTTACTTGTGCCCAACATCTAGGGGACATTACTATCCCTGAATATTATATTTTTGCAAGTATTCATCCAGTTGCTGTTTGAACATCTGTACTGACTCTGATAAAACCACATCTTCAGGCATAGAATTTTACATCCTTATTGTTCTTTCAGTAAAAAAAATCCTTTCCTTTGCCTTAGATTAAATTTCATTTCTTCCAGTCTAAATGGGTGACCTCCTGTCCTATGTATAGTCCTGTTGATTAATAGCTTTCCAAACAATGGTTTTGTATTGGCCCTGAATATATTTGTATAATGCATTTTGTAATGCATCTTCTGTCATACCAGGGGAAGAAGTAACTGACGGGAGAGAGAATGGGTTTGAAGATTAGTGTAGAGAGAATGTTTGCGAAAAGTTAAAGCACGTTTTTGTATCGATTTCTTTAAATTAAAAAATATATTGCAATCAAATATACTTACTTGTACTAAACTCACTGTTTTCTAGATTTTGCTAAAAACTCATTATCTGTATAGAAAATGCATACAGTAATTAAAAAATGGTTTACTTTTAATGCAGTAGTTTTAGAATATGCGTAGCGCCTCCCTTTGTTCCCCCTTGTCATACAGAAGCATTGAGCATTTTTTCTTCTTAAACTGTGTGTGTTCCCCATCTTACTTGCTACACTTCATTGATTGATGTAACCCATCAGTGCCCTTGTTTGACTTTTGGCAAAGCTATGCAGGTTTGTGGTCCAGCAATTTAAAGTGCCATCTAGTGGCTGTATATGGTACTGCTTTATCTTATTTCTGCAACTAAAGGAAAGTACACACTTTCTATTAATGGGTTTAAGCAGCACACAGACTTTTAGTCTGCTATACTGCATCTTGCCGTACCATTGAGACATTTAAGGTGAACTTGAAAAAGCATGAGAGAAGAGCAATACTCTAAAATATTGAGAATACTATTGATGTTTATGGCAAACTGTAGGGATTATAAATTTGATTTACGGCTAAGTACATCTATAACAGGTGTGAAAACCAGACTGCCTTGCGCATAACTTATGATTCACATGCAAGAATTTGGAATAAAACTCTGTTGTACTATGAGATTCTAAGCCAGGCTTCCCCAAACTCCGGCCCTCCAGATGTTGCTGAACTACAACTCCCATGATTCTATGAATGAGATAGCTAGGTTGAGAATCATGGGAGTTGTAGTTCAGCAACATCTGGAGGGCCGGAGTTTGGGGAAGCCTGTTCTAAGGGATCACACATCCCTCCTTCCCCCAAAATAACCCAATTTCTCTAATTGTGACAATGACAGGCGCTCCAGTTGGTTCCACAGTAAACATTAGTTTCTCCAAACACACTAGCAAGTTTGACAACTTCAGATACCTATCTTAACTTAGGGGAAACATATATTAGTAAAATCAATGAGAACAGCAGTTGTACCGAATTATTCACAATTTGTGCTGTACATTAGCTAAAGAATCTTGTTTTGATTTAGTTGTCCGGCTTTAGTTGAATATAATACCATTACCCAGCCAATTAAAAATCTGCTGACGACTGAATAAGAAAATAACAAGATAACTTTATAATAAAATATATTTGGTTATTGGGAGTATCTTCATTTAACTTCAAGCATGCTGCGGCAGCAATAATATTTTAATATTTTAATTACAAATAAATGAACACCCACAAGATATTAATTACCACGCGAGAAAGCAAGAAGGAGTGGCTACATTACTTTTCTAGATAAGTGCATCGTTTGTGAAATCAATTGAGAGAGCAAATTAGATCACATAAATTATTAGTTATATAACGTTAAATTATATTACGTACCCTTGGTTAGGGGTAACAAATTCTCCAAAGTCATTTGTTATACATTTCAGGTAATGCCAAATCCAATATTGTTTCTTCTTTTTATAGTTTCATAACCTCCTGGCATGATCACTCAGATGTTCCTCAAGGCTTTGTATCCTGATATTGTCCTTTGATAAGCATGTTAAGTAATTTAAAACCAAACGGTCGATTAAAGGGTCACTCCGGACACATAAACAACTTTAGCTTGCTGCAAAGCTTTATATGAAAAGAGTATGTCCTCTTTTTTATTTATTTTTTATTTTTTATTTTTGCAGTGCACAATACCAATATAATTCAGCTCGAGGTACCCCAACGGCAGTCCTCTAGCAGCATTTTAAGCTTCACATTTGGGGTAAAACAGTAAACATGCACATTATTTTTAAAGATATTAGTCTACGATTAACAACATGTTACGTTCAGGTATGCTTTAATTCTCAACAAGTGGTACTATGCTTCTCATATACAGAGCCCGTCCTACAGGTGTGTGGGATTCTAGACCATGCTTATCTAAAGTGATTGTAGCGTGCACTTGTAGCTGGCTCAGAGTGATGGGTGGAGGAGAGTGTGAGTGAGAGAGTAGTGTTCATCTTGCAGGTATCAGGTGTCATGTGGGGTGCAAGGAGTGCCCTTAGGTAGGAAACATGTGTGCAAAGTGTGTAAGTGTAGTATTTCAAAACAAAACGAGCAGCAACAGCTTATATTATCAGTGTTCGTCCTGTCCGAGGGTTCTGCGGTGCCTCATGTGGCAGTAGCAGGTCTAGTCCAGGATCAGCCGACTCCATACATGGGCCACGTAATTGAATAAGTCTTATCGACCGCTTGGTAAGTGACCATACAGTGCCGGGTTAAAGTCTCCAACCAGACCTAGGCTTGAGCAATTGCTAACCTGTTGTGGTTGCCTTCTCTGAGGTGTCTTCTCTTCCCTGTGGGGATATTGAGGGCCGCCCGGTAGGCCATGGATGTTTCTGCTCATCGATGGGGACTTGCTGTTCGTCGGTTTGGCGGGTGATGTGACCTCTGGGTCGGCCTCGGTTGATGAGGGCTTGAGGTTGGAAGCGTGTCAGCCTCCGTGGTTGCCCTCTGTGCTTGGGGTCTCTCGGGTATTCATTTGAGTATTGTCTGCTCTGGTCTCGATTGTCTCTGCAGAGTCATCGTGCATTGTTGGGGTAGGCTCGGGCACACCTTTGGGGTTGCTGCATGGCCCCGGCATGTCAGCTGCTGTGTTGTTCTCTGCCATGCTGCTTGGGGTTCCCTTCGGCTGTGCCTGTTTGCGGCTTTCCCTGTGGAGCGAGCTTTTGGCGGACCAGACGGTGAGTCAATGCTGTATAGATGCTTGGTCTCGTGCTTCTCCCGCTGTCGTGTTGGAGGAAGAGCATCTGGGTGGTCCAGCTGGGTGTGTGAGGGTGCCAGAGTCCAAAGTTTTATTTGGCCGGTGTCAGTGCAGGGGACTGGTTGTAATTTTCCAGTCGCCTCCAAAAGCGCCTGCAGACGGCGTCAAACCGTGCCTCAAAAGCCGTAGCCCAGTCGCTGGTGTTCTGTTGCTCTTGGATGGCTGCGGGGCCGGCGTCCACCTTGCTTTGGCCTTGTGGGCCCTGGCCCTCTACCCCTCTCTGAAGCGCCGTGGAGATGAGTGGTGAGTGCATGACGGTGGACCGGGATAACCCCCACCGGTCCGGGGGGACGGACGAGGACCTAGGTATGCAGCTTCAGCTCTTTGCAGCGTCGGGAAAGCAGCCGTCCTTCCCGCGCCCGCCATGCTTGTAGGCCTCAGACCTGTTCCAAGTCGGTTTTGCTCATAGCCTTGCTTGAGTGGTATCATTATATTTCCCTCGGTGTTACCCCACGAATGGTGGTGTGTTTGGCACGATTAATCGTCTTCAATTTCAAAGAAATTGACAATTTTATAAAATAACCTAGTTATAGCCCCTTGGCTTGAAAGCAGACAACAGGTAATGTTACTTCCTGGTTTCCTTAGCTCAATGCAGCTGACTCCAATTGTCCAGAGCTCCTGAGTTACAAAGACTTCTCATTGAGCTGTATGAGGAAGTTTGTGATTGGACAGCTACAGAAAGTCTGGTGGGGTGAGAAGGGGAGGGCTTGCAAAGGCAGCAGACCAGAAAACTGCATTGCAAGCTGTTTTTAGACATATCCCCAATGAAAAAAAAAAATACATCATTTAATGCATGCAAGTTTTCATTTGGGGTATATCTACTAAACAGTGATTTTCATTTATTTTGTAATTGGGCAGTGGAGTGTCCTGCTAACAAGTCCCTAACACTGATCTTCATTGAATATACATAGCGTCCCGCTCTTAGGGTCATATAGGAAATTTTTTCACTTAGTGATTCATAAATTATTGCTTACGCCTAATGTGTGCCTAGGGTATAGATCTTGTATCTGTGTTTTAGTATAAAAAGTGCAGTATACAGTACACCTCCTACTTCTTTTAATGCTCGATATGTATTTAAAATCGCTGATATGTCATTTCCTGGCTATTGTGTTTTTACACAATGTACTGCAAATATAAAGATTTACAAAAAAAATTGTTACATAGATGATTATATAAGCTTTAAAAAAAATTGTTCTTTCTCCTATATGGTCTATACGAATTGTTTTCTAACTCGGTATTACTTTCATTACGCATAATTGATTTAATTCTACAATTTGATCTTCAACCGTATTCTAGCTGAAGGAGAGATTTTAATGACATGCACAAAATATTCACTGTGTTCTTGATTCGTTACGCTCTTCAGTACCAAATGACCCTTATATTTGATGTGTTCTTTCACAAAATATCCACTTTAATTTTCTATTCAAATATTGAAGGTTTTTGTTACTTAGTTACTCCGATAACTTTGCTCTCATTGTTGTTGTTGTTATGCAACTATAACACTTGTGCAATCTAGTTATATTGCATAAATTGTTAATACAAAACTGCCACTACTACTACTCCATATACAACTAAAATCCCTATATACTATATACCCCTATATACTATAAAAAAACCCTATATACCCCTATATAAAAAATTCACTCATAGCATTTATACTCCCAGTAGTCTGTTACAAAAGTAGACATATTTTGGTTTTCCTGTTTACTTAGGAATATGTTTAAAAACAAAAACACTGATGTGGGTTACCAATAGACTGCAAAAATCGTAACACAAGGAGAAAGAACCAATCTCAAATTTTGGTGAGATTAAATGTTTTTTTCAATGTGGCTATTTTAGTTAATATTTGTAAAGCTGCGTTCCTGCCCGTGAAAGTGATACAGTTCATAAACCTCCAATAACTCATGAGTACTTGACCTCCGAAGTTGAAGTCTTGTGGATTTCTGTCAGCGACTACGTGTGAAATCAGTGGAAGGCTGTGATACTCAGAGCTGTGGTTAAAGTGATATTTTCTTGTTTGCAGTAATGATTGGCATTTTTATATAAAAACCTTTGAAAACCATGTATCCCAACTATCAGGCTTATTCATTGGAATGGAATACCAACTCCCAGAAATTCAAACCGAATTTCAAATTTAGGATAAATTAGCAGAGCTAAAAACATTACTGATGATCTATTTTTCCAATCTGACTATTGTGGCCTAAAAATTCAAATTCACTTAGAATTCATGTCAATTCACAGCATAAAAAAAATAAGAAAACAAACCTGTTAACTTTTTTTTTTTTTTTTTTTATTATATAACCGACAAGAGAGAAACTATTTTTTCTTATGTTACTATATTTCTTTATTATTTGTATCTTGTTTTTTGGAAAGTCTGCCTTTTTCCTTATGTGTGTTTTTATACCGATTGAGAATTGGCCAAATTTACCAAGTGTCAACTGACATTCATTCATTGAGCATTCATTTTGTATTTTGTTAGTAAAGTTCTATTTGTGTCACACACGTGTTGCATGTTTTATACATGTAAATATTCAACCTCATTGACGCACACACTCCTTTAATAACTACATGCAGTTCCTGTGATCCCATTTCTATTTACATTATTGACATATTTTAACGTGCTATTTATCTAGCGTGTCCATTGAGTTGCTAAAATTAGTGATTATTCTAGCGTCAGTGACCAAATAATCTACATTTTATTAAAGACAGACGGCTTCATATTTGCTTTACTTCCTTTACGGAATCCTCCCAGCAGCAAAGAAACAGTTAAACAGTTTGAACAAAAAACAACCAATCAGAATACATCTAGTCAGTAATATATGGCTGTGAGACACCTCCCAACTCCTCTTTTTTGATGCAGCCGGAATGTGATGTCAAGCGTGTAAACTAGAAACGAATATTCTTCAAAGAACCGTAGTCAACCATGTAAACAAAAGGTAGTCGAACCAGTAGATCCACAAATCAAGATTGTCGCGAAGAGCACGAGGATAGTTTCACTAGGAAGAGAAGAACATTCGTGAAAGTATGGGGTGACTGCTAGATTGTCAAAGTTACAAACTCCTAGCACTAAACGAAACTTACAACAACAACTTGATATGCTACATAGATATCTATGTATATATAGGTGTATAAATACAATCTAATGAATAAACTCGTTAGTGTAAAAGTAACACAAGGAAACTGAAACCCGCAACGTATACCCTTAATGGAAGCGAATTAGGGATAACAACACACGAAAAGGACTTGGGAATTGTTATAAACAACAAATTATGCAACAATGTGCAATGTCAATCAGCAGTGGCCATTGTCATGCATGAAAAAGGGCATTCATTTTCTGGATGAGAATATCATTTTGCATCTTTATAAATCACTGGTAAGACCCCATATTGAATATGCTGTGCAATTTTGGGCACCTGTTCTAAAGAAGGATATTATGGCACTAGAAAAAGTGCAGAGGCTGGCTACAAAATTAATAAAAGGAATGGAACATATCAGCTATGAAGAAAGGTTAACAAATTTAAACCTATTTAGTTTAGAAAAACGTCGCCTGAGAGGGGATATGATAACATTATACAAATATATTCGGGGCCAATACAAACCATTGTGTGGAAATCTATTCACAAACCGGACTTTACATAGGACACGAGGCCATGCGTTTAGACTGGAAGAAAGAAGATTTCGCCTAAGGCAAAGGAAAGGTTTTTTTACTGTAAGAACAATCAGGATGTGGAATTCTCTGCCTGAAGAAGTGGCTTTATCAGAGTCCATACAGATGTTCAAACGGCTACTAGATGCATACTTGCAAGAACAGAATATTCAAGGATATAATCTTTCAATGTAGGGTAATAACTGCTTGATCCAAGGATAAATCTGACTGCCATTCTGGGGTCAAGAAGGAATTTTTTTCCTAGCTTGTTGCAAAATTGTGCTTCAAACTGGGTTTTTTTGCCTTCTTTTGGATCAACAGCAAAAAACAAATGTGAGGTAGGCTGAACTTGATGGACGCAAGTCTCTTTTCAGCTATGTAACTATGTAACTATGTAAGAATGAGGTAGACAAAACTCTTGAATACATTACCTGAATACGAAAAGAACGAGGCACATAAAGCCCTCAAATACCTTACCTGAGTATCCCTTCATGGATGAAAACAAGGGTGGGTGATACGTAAAAGATGTCCGGGAAGACATAGGGTGGGAATATATTTGCCTCCTGTCTTTAATAAAATTTAGATTATTTGGTCACTGACGCTAGAATAATACTTCGGTGAGAGGGTGGAAAGCTCCGGAGGGATCTTGGAGGAGATCCGGAGCCAGAGGCAGAAGCAGAGGGTAATCTGTGGACATTTCAAAGAGATTGGGATACCAAGGTTAAGCTCTCCAGAGAGGAGTTATTAACAAGACCGTGATTCCCAGAACCCTGAGGCGATGGAGAGTGTGAGGAATCAATGAAAACGGTGGAAACGCATAAGCTCCCAAGGTTGCAGGAAGGCGTCGACGGCTTGAGACATTGGGTACGGGAGCCAACTGAAGAAGGTGTCCATCTGATGGTTTAGTCTGGAGGCAAACAGATGCAACGTGATGGGCCAGTGAAGCCGATGCAGATGATGGAAGACACCCGGGTCTAGGTGCCAAATGCTGGCCACCCCTTCAGTAATGGGAGAACCAGTCTGCCACGTGGTTGTCCAGCCCGGGCAGATATTCTGCTCAAAGAGATAGAGATTCCTCCCTAGACAGAATTGGTAGAGTTACTTCGTAAGGTCTGACAGGAGCTTCGATCAAGAGCCTCCAAGACAATTGACATAACGGACAGCGGAAATGTTGTCCATTCTGAGAATCAAAGAGCAGTTGTAAGCATCCTTGGCGAAACTGCGAATCGCAAAGGCGCCCGCCATCAGCTCGAGGCAATTGATGTGCATCAAGCATTCTGACTGGGTCCAGAGTCCTCCCGTAAAAAGGCCGTAGCAAGTAGCTCCCCACCCTAGGAGGCTGACTTTGGACTCTAGGACAAAATCGGTTGGCATCCGAATATAGCTTTCCCATTCCAGGCTTATATGTTTTGGAGCTACCAATTTCAGATGGACCTCGTCTGTAAGGAAAACAGGTTGGTCGTAAGACCAGGATCTGCGAAGATACCACTTCTTGAGATGTTGCATTGCCCTGTAATGTAAGGGATCGGGGGAAAATAGCCTGAAAGAATGCGGACAGGAATCCTATTATTCACGCTAAATCGCGAAGGAGAAGATGATGGGAGGACAATAGTCTCTGAATGTTCCTTTTGATGGCTTTTATCTTTCACATCGGGAGTTGAAGGATCAACAGAACAGAGTCGATATGAAAACCCAGGAAGAGGACGGACTGGGATGGTACTAGTGTGGATTTTCCGAAATTGATTACAATGCTGAGGTTTTGTAGGAGACATTTGGTCATATCTGTATGTTTCTGAAGAGTATGGAGGTTCTGCGCCATGATTAGTATGTCGTCTAAGTAGACGATGGACCTGATACCTTGGGACCGGAGAAGGGCCATAACTGGTTTCATTAACTTGGTGAAGCACCAAGGGGCGGACAAGATACCAAAAGAGAGGCAAGTGAACTGCCAATGCTCTTGTTGCCATATGAATTGGAGGAAGGGACGGTGAGAGGCCCCTGAGATCGAAACGGGAGAACCAATCTCCCTCGCAAAGCAGGTCTCGAAGCAGAGGTATGCCTTCCATTTTGAAATGTCGATACACTGTAAATTGATTCAAATCTCTCAAGTTGATGATCGGGTGAAAGTTGTTTGACTTCTTCTGAATTAGAAAGATGCTGCTGACAAACCTGGAAGGGGATGGTGAGGGTTCGATTGCACAGTTGTCTTTGAGCTTGCAGAGTTCTGCATGGAGTACGGCATGTCCGACTGAGACATCCTTAGAGGGGAAAGAGGGAACTATTGTATGGGGTCGGTGGTGAAGTCTATCAGAAAACATGAAACCGTCTGAAGGATCCAAAGATCTTGAGTGAGCAGAGACCACTGTGGAAAAAAATGGTTAGACCACTGCAATATGTATTAGAGAATAACGTAGGTGCATTACCTTGAGCAAAGCGACCCCGGAGAGAAGCAGACACACATCCTCTGATTGATCCTCTATTGGTGAACAGTTGTCTTTGATAGGGACGGGTATAAACTGAGTTCCAAGGCTCAGCTGGGTGAGGCCTGTAGCCTGTGAAGGCAAATCTGCCGGTAGCTCGGCCTCTATGGCGACCGGCTCTGCCAGAAAAATGATTTAATTTAAGTGAAACACTCTGCGGAGAGAGGTTTGAGCTTTATTTGGCTGGTGCCTTGCCTTTACCGACTGAGGCACTGTTGCCTTTCCAGGGACACTTGTGCGGAGCCCCTTCATGATCAGAATCATTATGAGACTCTTCTGAATTGGAAATATTCCGAGCAACATGTGGTCTGGAAACAGGTTTAGCTTGTTCATGATAAGCTGCAATAGCCTTGGGCATCGATTCCGCCATTGCTGAGAAGAGCCAAGATTTGAGCTTAGCAGAAACCCCAAAGTCTGGTTGTTCAGACATTTGGCTGAAGTGATGAAACTAATTAACAATTGAAAAGTAAAATTGGTGATACAACAGAGGGTCACCCTGGGATAATAACTGGGGGTCACCCTTTGAAGTCAAGCTTGGGGGTCACCCAAGTGGGCAAATGTGGGTTACCCTAAATGCAGTAATAAGTGGGGGTCACCCACAGTATATCTAAAAATAATACCAATAATAGTACTCATAAGCAAACAAGCGGAAAACAATTTACCGCTGTAGCAAAAAACAGGGGTCACCTGTTATAAACAAGGGGGTCACCCTTGTGGCAGATTTATTGTTTGGATTTAATAATGAACGCAAAAGATATTGCAGGAGAAAACACTCTATCAACCAAGTTGTCTGAACCTGTCAGTTGGGCAAACAGAAAGAGAGGTACTCAGAATAAATGCATTAATTAAAATAAGATATAAACAAAAATAATAATGAAATTATGGAACCTACCTTGGAACAAAAAAACAAAAAACAAGACAGGCAGAACAAGCTCCGTCGACGAGATAAACTGCCACACACCAAGATGGCCACCGGCACTTTAGTTTGGTTTGGTTTGTTTTCTAGTTACTATTCAGCTCACATGAATACTGCCGCGATCTGTTCATTTTTTTTCCCTTTCCCGCGCTATTCTGTGAGGCGCGCGGGAAAGAAAAAAAAAAATGAACAGATCGCGGCAGTATTCATGTGAGCTGAATAGTAACTAGAAAACAAACCGCGGTCAGCAAAAGACCATGGGCGGCAATAGTGGAGTAGGAAAAAATACAGTGGGCAACACAGTGGAATACTGGAATAGAAAAACGTAAAAGTGTACATAAACCTATTGGCAAAGGCCTGTATAATTAGAATTGACTCACCTGGGAGGCAAGCAGCAAAGAAAGAGGAGTTGGGAGGAGTCTGATAGCCATATATTACTGACTAGATGTTTTCTGATTGGTTGTTTTTTGTTCAAACTGTTTAACTGTTTCTTTGCTGCTGGGAGGATTCAGTAAAGGAAGTAAAGCAAATATGAAGCCTCCTGTCTTGCCATAAAATTCTGTGCAGTCATTCATATGCCGGTTGTGCTTAACAAACTTTAAAACGTTTTTAGAATAGTATACACACTCCTCCTGAGCTCATTAGTTAGTAAAAATAATTTTCTAAGACAGTAAATACTCAGAGGAACTTTGTGTACATATCCTCTCAAAGCCAGGGAATTTGAATAAACATGTTCTCTTCAGTTAATTCTAATTTGCATATAAGGAAAAAACAAAAAAATTGAAAATAAAATAAAATATATATCCAAAAACATGGATGTTCTAAAATAATAAAATAAGAGAATAGTATTAATTGAATTCCAACAAATCTTTTTATCCCCACGGATTACAAAAAAAAAAAAAGAATACTCATTTTTATTTTTTCCAACTTGTTTTTGTTTGTTTCAATTTGAAAAATGTTCCATGGAAAGCTTTTGCTAACTCCGTTGGGCTTAAAAGTGGAACGTCTATCCCCTTAGCCAAAAAAAAAAGATTATTTTTTTAAATGTGAGGGTATAAACATCTAATGTAGAATAATAATAATAATAAAAATACTGTTGTTCCCTTATCAATGTTTGACAATTAAACAAAATTGTATTTAATGACATTTTTCACTGTTTAGCTATTAAAAAAATCATTAAAATAAAATTTAAAGGGACTCAATTTAGAAATTAAAGAACTTTTGTTATCATTTTTATTAGCATGCAATATAGCCTCTGTCTGAATAATTTTGTAATCAGCATATATAAATTAATATTTTTTTTGTACATTTCCTGTCTTGCCTTGCTTTGTGGGGGCAGCCATATTTAATTCGTCTTGGCAAGATCCACCACTTATCTGATAAGACCATGCTCAATTTGGCATGGTCTCATTCTGTCTCAGAGTATATTTTATAATGTCCTTCCCTTGCTCATGATTTCAGGATTTGTGAATATTCACTTGCTCTTGACTAGCTGCGAGATTTTTGCTGGATATGTGCTACTTCAGACCTCAAGAGCCTTAAAGATGGCTGCCACCGTAGTGCAAGGGTAAATGAGGATATACATGGAAAATATATATTTATCCATATTTACGCATTACAATATAATGCACAGAAGCTAAAATACATGTAATTTTTCATTTTTAAATTAAAAAAAAAGGATTACAGTTGTCATTTAAGGGATCTTCATTAAACAGTAAACCTGCACAGGTTGCATAATCAACTTGTGCAATTTGAGCCACAGTTTTCTACCCCCACCCATCCCTCCAAAAAAAGTAATTTGTTGACAAAATGATTGGGACATTTAGACTAAAATTTAAATGTTAAAAAGTACTCTTGCTTGGCTGCAATGCAATTATTTTGCAACTTGATTATATAAGGTTATATTTTGTAAACCAAATGTCAGATCACCACACCACACCACACTGTTTAGTGAATACGCCTATTAATTGTGGTTGATTTAACTTTTTTATTTATGTTTGAAAATGTATTCCAATTTAACTTGGCTGAAGATTGCATTTTGTCAAATAAATTGAAATAAAGTCTCAAGTTTATATTACCCCTTTTCTTTTTTTGCTCAACACATTTTGTCAGGAAAACAAGCTGTTTTTTTTCTGAAGGAAATAAAAAAAATTAATCTGATTTAGTAGGATGTTTGAGCGATATATTTACACATTCACCTGTTTATCGGAATATGTTTAAGTAGTAATATATTAACTTTATGTCAAGGCTGAATTTTATGTGTCAGACTACTCAAATATTCAACTACATAATATTTTCTGTGTAAGGTTCACACACTTTTGTAACCAGCATTCTGTGAGTACACTTACATCAACAAAATGCTCAAAAAACTTCACATAGTGTAATGTAGATCTGGTGTCCAAGTATCATGTCAAAACCAATTCTACTCATAACAATTATTAACCTTTGATTGACATTTTGTAAAAACTACAAGAGTTATTCTGCAAAGAGTATTGCAAGGTACTGGAAATTGGTCTGGTGAAACTTAACAGGCGCTGACTTATTTATCATGACAATTTGAATATGATAAAGAAACTACACGGCGAGACCCATAAAGTGCCTGAATCTCATAAACAGCTTTAAAAAGGTGTTGACTGATCTTTCGTCATCTTCCTGTGGATCAGGCAGATAAAATTGCTTGGAACTCCGTCATGGTAGTTTTCAAACATTTGTAATGGGCGGACATTAGATTGGAGAACGAACAAATCAAAAAAAGGCCTGTACAAATTATTCTCTACCTCAATATTACTTTAATTATGACATAAGTGATAATTCTACAATTTGACCTTCAACAGTATTCTAGATGAAGGAGAGATTTTAATGACATGGACAAAATAGTCATTGTGTTCTTGATTCGTTTCACTCTTCAGTACCAAATGACCCTCGTGTTCGATGTGTTTTTGACTTTCACAAAACATCCACTTTAATTTCTTGTAGCAAAAATTGGAGGTTTTTGTTACTTAGTTATTACAATAACTTTGTTCTTGTTGTTGTTGTTATGTAACTATTACACTTGTGCTATTATAAAATTCTGAAAAGCTGTAGCTGTTCAATTTGAAATCCCTGTAGAACACAAACAGACTATATATTTAAACTCAGGAGGAACGGAAAAAAAATGGTCAGTTGATAAACGATAAAATACATTGTATTATTTTTGCTAATCAGAAATCATGGCTGCTTTGGAGATTGTTTTTTATTGTTGCTGGTTTACGTGGTATAGCTGAAACATAGAATGTGACGGCAGATATGAGAACCATTCGGCCCATCTAGTCTGCCCAATTTTCGAAATACTTTCATTAGTCCCTAGTCTTACCTTATAGTTAGGACAGCCTTATGCCTATCCCATGCATGCTTAAACTCCCTCACTGTGTTAACCTCTACCACTTCAGCTGGAAGGCTATTCCATGCATCCACTACCCTCTCAGTAAAGTAATACTTCCTGATATTATTTTTAAACCTTTGTCCCTCTAATTTAAGACTATGTCCTCTTGTTGTGGTAGTTTTTCTTCTTTTAAATATAGTCTCCTCCTTTACTGTGTTGATTCCCTTTATATATTTAAATGTTTCTATCATATCCCCCCTGTCTCGTCTTTCCTCCAAGCTATACATGTTAAGATCCTTTAACCTTTCCTGGTAAGTTTTATCCCGCAATCTATGAACCAGTTTAGAAGCCCTTCTCTGAACTCTCTCCAAAATATTATTAACCTTCTGGAGATATGGTCTGGAGTTCTGCGTATAATACTCCAAGTGAGGTCTCAACAGTGTTGTGTACAATGGCATGAGCACTTCCCTCTTTCTACTGCTAATACCTCTCCCTGTACAAACAAGCATTCTGGACAACCAAGCATTATGGAAGCAATATTGTCTTGGTCTTAGAACATCTGGATCATTGGTGCAGTACAAGCAACATTACTTATATTACCTGTATCACTCTTTAAGGTCTTAAACATTCAATGGCCACTCTACAAGGGACCTTTCTAATACTTGTCATCTCTTTGACCCAAGAACACTCTGAATTCTGCAAATACTTTCCTTAAAATACACACATTTATAGAATTGTACATTTGTAGAGATAGAGAACCTTTCAACAATCGTGTTTAACATAGTCTACATAATATGAATATACTTTCTTATCTCCACACTATGAATTGTCTTCTTTAATATGTCCAAGTCAAGGAGAGGAATATTTCACATGAAGAAATATTTTATTTTGTTCTGGGGAGACTTCACAACAGAACTCAGGAATCTTTTTGATGTTTGTTACAGTTATAACAAAATACATATGCAATATTCTCACATCCTAGTTTATGTTTCTTATTCCCATTGGTACGCTTGTTCTTTTATATGGAGACATTTTTGAATGCAGTGTAAGATTTGGCAACTGTGGTATATAATGTATTATTCTTTTGATATATAGCAATTAAAGAGTGACCTTAGCGATAATACTTACTACACGAAACCAGGGGGCCAACACAGAGTTACAGAGCCAAACATGGGCCCCAGAAGGAGTTTGGAAATTTCCTTAGACTGTCTGAAACTTAAAATCTAATTGTTGGATTTCAGGCGGCATTGTACTTTTTTTAACTGTGCCTATTTACTAAACAGTGAGCTATCTGAAAAAAAAACTTGCAATATTAACACCAAAATGGACAATCTAGAGAGAATTTCCAATTTGAGAAATTCATCTGTAAACTCAAGATGCTTAACCCTTTAGTAATTCTAACAGGTTCTACATGGTTCTATTTTTATGTATTTATAATATAATTTCATATAATAAATACAATATATATAATGGAAAGAAATTTCTACTATTTGCCTTTATTAGTTAATTGTGTCATAACTAGGGAGAAAACACTTCCTTGGGGATTTTTTGTTCTGTGAAGTATCAGTTCCGTGACAGAGGGGAGAAAGTGGGCCATGTTTGGAGGTTTTTGGGCAAGGGAAAAGGTTATAAAGGTGTGTTTTAAAAGTATGCGTTCCTCATGTAAACCTGTATATTACATTAGGCCTTGTTACAATTACATATGAAATGCTTCTCACTTGACTACTGTACTTCTCCAAACGTGATTCCGTACTTGTTATACTATGTGAATTGACTGCTTTATATTAAACGTTTCTCTCCACTGTATCACAATAACAAACATGGCCTATCTGAAAAACAACA